ACAACAGGATAGGGGGGAGCATGGCCAGGATGGGGGGGGCCATGACTCACCTTGTGGTTTGTACTTGGACTTAGGATTGAGGGTCAAATTGGCCAATTAGTGTTCCATATCATGCAGCATCATGCCCAGTATAAAAATGAGAGTCAGCTGGAAAGAAGGGCCTTTGCTCTTCCAGGGCTCTCACTCTTGAACTCTTAGAGTACTCTCTCTCTCTCTCTCTCTCTCTATTTTCGGGCCTCTCGCTCATCTGGTATTGTGGTGTCGGGACCGAACTGTTTCGGGATTGTTAGTTCGGGATGAGACGGGCCTTGGTCAAGGGGTGGTGAGCAATTACACTGTACATCACTCATTTGTATATGTTTATCATTGTACATTTATGTGTGTATTCATATATTCGTAGTAGTAGTATTAAATTGTTCTTATCTCAACCCACGGGTCTCTTTTCCTTTTCTCCTTTAATTCCCTTGCTCATCCCCGGGGGGTGGGGGAGGGTGAGTGAGCGGCTGTGTGGAGTTTAGTTGCCAGATCGGCCTAAACCACGGCAAACTCTCTTCCCCATTCCCCAGTAGTGGGAGAGGGTGAGCGAGCAGCTGTGTGGCCAGCTGGGCTAAACCACAACATGTCATGTTAATTCTGGTATTTCTTGTTTTGAAAAGAAGAAGGTTAGAGTAAACCCAGAAATTCAGTCGTGAAGTAAAAGATAAACCTTGAAAATAAGTCTTTGTTCTTATATGAATTTTGCTGCATATGGTTTATGTGGTTATTTGTATTTCTGCAAAGCAAGGAACCAGTGTTATCAGATGGCTCACGTGGGTACGGATGGTACATGCAACGGTAAGAGTGACGCAACTTGCGTTACGGAACTAACAATGGAAAGTATTGCTAATACTAACTGCCACGTTAATTCAACACTTTCTAGGTTTGGAGGCAGCGGAATTTAGGGAATGGATGACATTGGTGATCTCTCTTTTTTGTCATTTTCCATTCTTGGGCTTGTAGGGCTGGGGCTGTTACTCAGGGGGCTTCGTTTTCCAGTGGAGAATGGAGCTCAAAGTGATGCTGAGATCTTTTTCTGCTCTGCTGCCTCATGCAACCTCTTGCCTCTCACTTCTCTGCTGGAGAGAAATCCCATTTCACTGGACACACGTGCACACAGCTGCTCTGCCCTGTTCTTTTACTGGAGTGGAGCATTTTTGGCTGGGGAATAGGGAGGAAGCAGTTCAGGACACAGGAGTGAGCCAGGACATTAGTGTCCCGGGTCACAACCTAGGCACCTCAGTTTTGATCTCTTTGCTATCACGTAACTTTTTAATTGTGGCACAAAAATTATTTCTGTCTTCCCTGAAGGTGAAATGTAAGGGTTGTAAAGCAGCAGTGGGTTCACATAATGTGATTTGAAATGCACCTGATTTTCACCTGGATAAATTCTTAAGTGTGGTCAAGTTTACTCTGGGGTTTTATCACTCTGTCACAAGAATGACGTCTGGATCTTGGAGCTGAATGGTACTTGTCTTTGCTCTTGGAGGAGGGCAAAGGAAAGGAGAACTCAGGTAACTCACATTTCTGACTAATGAAATCCACATCAACTGTATTTATTTATTTTTAAATAACACTCATACGTTATGCTCTTATTCTGTATTTTACCTGTGATATTTTATACCCTCCAGCAGGTGCTGCTGCATCCTGCTAATGTCCTCTTCGTGGAGGAAAAAAAATGAAGCAGTCCTTTGATTTAATATGGACTTTGCTCTTTGTTTTGCATCCTGAATGTGTCCATGTTCTCTTTTCTTCCTCAAGTTGGTTGCCAGCAGAGTGACTAGGGAGGGAATTTTTATGATCCCAGTATATTTAATCCTGCAAGCGCTCTTTGTAAGAAGGGGTTGAAGATCGGGGGGAGTTGCTTCCGAAGGCCATGCTCAGAGCAAGCTGAACAGATGCAGATAGAAATGCATTTGTATTTCTGCAAAATGTGGAGAAATGCGTTTCCTTAAAAGTAGAAAATATTAATTAAAAAAAAGGTTTAAAAGTTTCTAGGTGGCTCATTTTTTTCCCCCTCAGCTTTCTTGAGCTTTAGTAATTTAAGCTCATGATTTTTAAATCAGTCTTATCGTTAGCCTAATAGCTGGTCTTGAATGGTAGAAGTTTGCAATACAGATTACACAGCGCATGTTTTGGAATCTCATATTTAGGATTTCCACATGAAGAATTGTGATTGAGTCACATGCAGAAAGTATAAAAAGGAATCATAGAACCATAGGATAGTTAGGGTTGAAAGGGACCTCAAAGATCATCTAGTTCCAACCCCCCTGCCATGGGCAGGGAAACCCTCCACTACACCAGGTTGCCCAAAGCCTCATCCAACCTGGTCTTAAACACTTCCAGGGATGGGGCATCCACAACTTCTCTGGGCAACCTGTTCCAGTGCCTCACCACCCTCTGAGAGAAAAATTTCTTCCTTATATCTAATCGAAATCTCCCCTCTTTCAGTTTAAAGCCATTGCCCCTTGTCCTATGACTACACGCCCTTGTAAAAAGTCTCTCTCCAGCTTTCCTGTAGGCCTCCTTTAGGTGCTGGAAGGCTGCTGTAAGATCACCTCGGAGCCTTCTCTTCTCCAGGCTGAACACCCCAAGTCTTTTAGCCTGTCTTCATAGCAGAGGCGCTCCAGCCCTGAGATCATCTTTGTGGCCCTCCTCTGGACCCAGTCCAGCAGCGCCATGTCCTTCTTGTGCTGGGGACTCCAGAGCTGAACACAGTATTCCAGGTGGGGTCTCACAAGAGCAGAGTAGAGGGGCAGAATCCCCTCCCTCGACCTGCTGGCCACGCTCCTTTTGATGCAGCCCAGGACACGGTTGGCTTTCTGGGCTGCCAGTGCACATTGTTGGCTCATGTTGAGCTTCTCATCCACCAGCACTCCCAAGTCCTTTTCCTCAGGGCTGCTCTCAATCCATTCTCCGCCCAGCCTGTCCTTGTGGTTGGGATTGCCCGACCCACGTGCAGGACCTTGCACTTGGCCTTGTTGAACTTCATGAGGTTCTCACGGGCCCACCTCTTCAGACTGTCAAGGTCTGGCATCCCTTCCCTCCAGTGTGTCCACAACACCACACAACTTGGTGTCATGTGCAAACTTGCTGAGGGTGCTTCATTCTGTTTGCTGATGGACCACTTGTGCCAGGTGGGAATTTGTAGATAGTTATAGTTGAAATTAGGCCTTGATATGGATTACATATCCTTGAAGTCCTTGAGTTGCACCAGGCCAGAAATGCACGCGTGAGCTATGGGATCTCACTGATCTCTGGTCCTTACCTGCGTCTGTACTGTATTGCTGGTTCCATGTAGGGAATTGAATTTCTGCTCTAGTGTTTTTCCTCACTGTTAGAGTGACTAAACCTGGTTGCAACTATGATTTCAGCACTTTCAGGATTATTTAGGAGCCTTAGAAGGTGAATCCAAGTCTAGTAAGCTGAAGTATTGTTTGCTTTTGTTATTTAACTTTATTAGTAGTCTAAAATGTTCAATATAAGAATAATGACTGTAAACTACAGTCATAAATCTCAGGCAGGCAGCACCTGCTACTTCAGCACGTGAAGCAGCATGTATTCCCCATGTCGTTCAGTTTGGAGAGGGCTGGAATTACAGTCTTTCTCTCTAACCTCTCTTCTGTGTTTCTTTTAGAAATCCAACGAGGCTGTGGCAGTTACCTCTCAGGAAGTTACAAGGATGAGTCGGGAAGAAAACACCTTTTTTTATCCCTTTGACTCAAACCCAAAAGGTTAAATATAATTAGATTCTAAGAATTCGTATCATAATCTACTTAATCCAGATGTAGTAAACATAAAGTTAAATATCTTTAGTTAATAAGGTCTGAAGTTCTCATGGCTTTGATAAACTCAGATTTGGATCTTTAATGAGTTTCCTTTCCATTGATTTCAGATGCTCTGGAATGGGAGTCTGTCTTTTAAGAGGGCAGTTCATTTTATGCTAAAGCTGGAAGTATTCATCTGCCTTAGATTCTGTGGAGTTTGGTCTGTCTCTCCCTTCTTTAGAGAAAAGGAACTGTGTAGACGAGGTGGCTAACTGGATTGCCAAAGTCAAGTGGCATTAACCCAACTTTGGAAACTTGTGTCTATGTCTTATGACATGGAGATATATAACCTAAATGTGATTATAAGCAGTTGATATATTAAGTATACATAATAATAGTTAACGCTTATTCAGTGCTTTCTTTTCCTAGGTTCCAAGGCAACTCACAAGACTTTTTACAGTTTTGGCCCAGGTTAATAGATGAGAGGATGAAGTCGCTGACTGTGAAGTGACCGGTTCAGGGTCCTAAAGTGAACCAGTGGCAAAACTGGAATGAGTTCAAGTCTGATGCCTTTTTCGTGTGGATATGCTACTTTATAATTTCTTTGTATGTTTTTATAAATGATTATAATTTGTTGATGATGATGTAAGTAACCACTGAAACATTGCAGATTGCTTATATTGTTGAGGCAGTTTTGCCTTGCTTTTCCTTGAAGCTAGGCTTTTATGTGTTAGAAAGTATGCGTAAATGGGTGAAGTCTGCAATTCTACCTCTTTACACAAAATGTACGTAAGATTCCTAGTAAAACTATTTTTTATTTCCTATGAAAGAATACATAATTTTTACTATAGCTTTCTAGTACTGATAGGTGCTTCAGCTGCTTTTCACTGTACTTGGCCAGGCTGTATCTGGAAGAACAAAAAGTGATTACAGCTCCTAAGATACAGTTAACCAGCAGTCAGATCAATGAAGGGGTTAAAAGTGAGACAGCCCTGTCTTTTACTTCAGTGGAAGTGCAGTTGTTGATTTAAAGCTCTCCGTAAATGATTGTTGGAGATCTGCCATATGTAGCAGAGCATTCAGAAAGCATACCACAGACTCTGCTTCCTCCTAAAGAGCGTTTGTCTGTCAACATCTCACTTTAATTGTAGTCTTTTAAGGCACCAGACGGCAGGCAAAACTCACCAGCCAGCAGTCATGGAAGATCAGACCTTTACCAATGTTTATCAAAATGGTAACACCACCAATATCTATGAGATTTCAGACTCTGTGAAAGACAAACGGGATAATCTTTATGATCATGATCCAGTACTTACTTCTTCTGTCACTACTATCCCAGAGAGCATGGATAGTAGTCAAGAGAGCTCAGAAGACAGCTATAGTAATTCTGTGGCCTCTCAGCATGAGGCTGATGGGGAGGATGGTTCTTCATCTCACCATGGTACTGAAGAAGACCACTCATACCAGGAGATGGATCTGATGAGCCCAGCTCTGGAAAATAAAGACGTAGAGGGCATGATGTTTGAGAGCAACATGCATTTTCCTCCGGGTTTCCAGTTGCGTCGGAGCCAGAGCACTTCTTCCCACTCTCCAACTTCCCTCAAGTTCCCCCTTAACAATAACTTCGGAGAAACTGACAACTTTCAGGAAGATCATGAGATTTTCATGTTTATAAAGGTAAGAGCTTGAGTGGTCCTAAGAATACACTAGTTTTAAACCTCAAATCAATTTATGTGTCCTCCAAATAAGTAAAATACGGTTACCCTCTGCTTTGTTCCCAACTCTGCTGCCTGTCTGCTGCAGGGGACCAAGCTATTCACTTACCTCTTACATCTTAAGGCACAGAAGGAGAAGATTTGTGTTGTGTGGAATTGCCTGGGATTTCTTCACTTCAAGTGGAACTATAAATATGGTGGAAGTATTCTGATTGTTGCTGCCATTCATTTATTCTGTGAAATCTCCCTACTGTTACAACTAGGCTATTGCTCCTTGAATGGCTTTAGTAAAGCTAGTTCAGCTATCCCTGCGTTTCACTATCCATTAGCTTATAGCTCAAAAGTGATAGTTATTAATGCTATGAAGAAAACGAAATACATAGCTTGAGTAATGCCAATAAAATTTCCACAAATGCTCATCCTTTCTTTTATTTCTTTGAATATTTAGATTAACGTATTTCTGTGATTAGTTAGATTAATGTATTTCTGTGACAGTTTTAACATGTATAGTCCTTAATTTCAAGTTAGGCATAAGTCACTGAGGGACACTTTCTCTAACCTTGCAAAGTGTTACTTAAATTTCTAAACCATAAACACCTGTGTTCTTAAATAAACACTATACTTGCCTTCATAAAAGTTCTTATATTCAACCATTCTCAATATTTATTAGGCTGTAACACAGACCTGACCGTTCCTTCTTTTTAACTACATAAGTTAATCAATAATAAATCATAAGTTGAACAATAATAAATTGTCAGGTTTTGTTTCCCTTAAATAGGACCATACACCATCAGTGTGATACTCTGTTATTTCAACAGAAGTTTTTTGAACTTTGTCACTTTTCCACATAAATAAGATTATCAAAAAGTGTACCTCAGTTCCACAGGTGCTTTGAAAGCAGGCTAAGAGATTTTGTTACCACATGTAGTGAGAAGGGTTTTCAGCAATGTGTGTATTTGGTTAATTCAGTTTATTTAACCTCTGTAACCTAGCTCTATAACCTTTACATTGATGTGAGATGTTGATTATCTTGTATGAGCTAGGGAAGATCAGATGGCTTGGCGGACTCTCCTAATACTTCATTTGGTTTCTGTTGTTGGATTTCTTGGAAAATTGAGTGAGGTAGAAAGTCATCCTACATTTACTTGCAGGATAAAAGAGATCACTTCCAGAAAGTGTCAACAGAATCTTGATATTCTTTTGAATGCATTAGGAAAGTCATGATTTAAATATTTTTCCTTTGTATCATGTCTTCCAGTAGATGAAAAGTTGGTGTTATTGCCCTTTCATGCCTCCCTTCTCCATGTGATGATCCTTTGTGATTGCTGTTTTGATTTTTACATAAAGATAGATCATTTAAATTATTCATAAATTAAAAAAAACAACCAACCAACCAACCAAAACAGAAATAGCTATCAGGTTACTTAGTCTTATTCTGCATAAGACAAACCATAAAACTTCAGGCACTTCTCTTAGATTTCAGTATAACTGCAGCTACTCTTCTAAAAAGGTGTGTATCCTTTAGGAAAGGGAATATCTACTAATTGATGGCTCGTGAATCTTTCTGGGTCTTCATGGACTGCCACAAGAAATTTTTGCTACTGATTTCTGTAGAAGTGGGCTATAAGAGCCACGTGTGAGGGCACTTGGCCTTTTCGTTATCTTCATAGTACTTCCATGGTATGACTCTGAAGTGGCAGCTGTCCTATTGCTGTGACTGGATTGCGGTTGCTGCTAAAAAAATATGTTAATTATATGGGCAAAGTAGGATCTATGGTGTTGGTTTTAGTTCATATCTCTGCTTGTAGTCCTACACACATTTTAAAAGTTGCAGCAATTGAGTATGTTTTGTTTGTTAGCAACTTAATGGTGTTAGCAACAGGAATGTTGTATTTCAGTTTTAAAATTCTCTCTCTCTGTTCCTTATTCACGTTCCTCTTGTTTCAAAATAATGGTGTCCTCTCTTTCTATGCATGAAAAAAGAAAGTGCATGCAGATGCTCCCATTCAACCAGAGATGCTCCCCACCGAGTCACGAAATTCAATTTTGAATTTCTGAAAAGTGAGAAGAGGGACATTCTGGAAAGAGCTGTCATGGAAAGGGGTTGAGAAAGTCCTTTTCCTTGCTTTTGTTGTGCAGAGTAGCTGAGCATCTCATAAAGGGGCTTATCAGCTAGTCTAGAGAGAAACACAAACTTTGGACTCTGTTCACTTGTCTAAACATAAGTGCCTAGTGCTGTTTGAGATGTCCTTGAGCCTCAAGACATCTCTACCTGGCTGGAAGATGAGATGTGAGGCTTTCAGGTGATCCATGCTGTGATTCTCCTCCAGCAGGAGCTGGAGGCCCGGTGGGCAGGGCACTGGGTACTTCTGTGTGGGTGGCTGAACTGAACTCGCGTGACAGCGTTTTATTCCTTGAGAAACTGATGACTCTTCTTTTCTGCATTTTTGCTTTTCTTTCTTTCTGATATCAAGGTAATAAAGCATTAACTCCATAGAGTGCAGAGCCAGCTTTGCTATCTTTAATTATCTGGATAGCAACAGTCAGGCTATAAAACGGAAGGTTGTAGAGTAATAAATATATAACAAGGATTGTGAGATACCTGAGGGCTGTCACTTCTTGCACGTAGGAACCGAATCTCTCGATTGTGTCCATGGCCATTATTGATAGACAGTTCCTTTCTCATACCCTTTCTCTGGTGCACCTGAGGCCAGTGTTGCTTTGAAATTGGGTTCATCATCTGGATTTGCTCTTTTCTGTAGACTTTAACAGTGACAGCAGGACCTTTTGCTGTGGGACAATAGTGGGAATGACAATTCTGCCAGTATTTACTCTTCCTTTGTTTGTAGCACTAATAAATCTGCGAGTGGATGGAAATGTGAGCCAAGACAATGTTTAAACCACATTAACTCATCTTTCACTGATTATCAGTACCCGATAACTATGTCATCATCAGTGGAATATTTCAAGATGTTCCATAAGGTGAAAAATTTTGGATTTCATTAAGGAATTCCCTGTACCTTTAATAGCAGAACATCGCATGTGCCAGCATGGAGATGTTTGTGTGAATCCAGCGTGTCCAGGCTTGTCACAGCCACCTTAGTGCCCTTTCAGGAGCACTGTAATTTGTGCAAACAAAAGTCTTTGAAATTGGAACAGAAATATGACTGACACGCAGGCTATGTTACTGAGTGCGTAGGACAGCTTGACCTAATGGCAGCTGTTGCTCAGAGGTCCAGCCTTTTCACTTGTATGCTATATTTCCCTGTTCATCAGTGTGTTTGTTCTGAAGGCTGAGTTTCTTTGAAAATTTTAACTTTTTGTTTTCCCGAAGCTTGAGTTGTTATTTAAAGAATAGTCCCTCAATTTTCTTTTCAGAAGAAAATTATTGCCCTTCTGGTTTATTGACAACCTGAGACTGGCTATAGATTATACCCTCTCTGTACACATTTGTGCCATAGGAGCATAGTTCCCCAAAGAAGGAAGGCAATTCTTTACCCCAAGTAATAAACACCTTGTGTTATGCAAACAATACAGATTTAATGCAGTGGTTTGGCATCGTGAACATGCACGTTGGATCACTGCACTGGCTTAACAGAGTTATGGATGCTGGAAGGCACCTCTGGAGATCATCTAGTCCAACCCCTTACTCAGAGCAGGATCACGTAGAGCAGGTTGGTCAGGGCCGTGTCTGGTCAGGTTTTGAATATTTCCAAAGATGAAGAATTCACAACTTCTCTGTGCAACCATTCCAGTGTCCTACCCTCATGGTAAAAACGAATTTTCCAATGTTTAAATGGAATTTCATGTATCTCATTGTGCCTGTTGCCTCCTGTCCTTTCACTGGATACCAATGCTTATAGTTAAGAATGGTGTTTTAAGAAAGATACTGCTTTTAACTTCTACATACATCAGAACTTAAACTTTTAGCTGTTTCCATTGAGATCATTGCATCCTTCAGTAAAATTTCTTTAAAACAATTAAAGTAGCTGGGAAAGAAAGGACACTTCGTTTTTCCTGCAAGATGCTTCCCACTCCCTTGTTTCCAAGTCAGGAAGGTCTGAGGGCTCTCACCTGATGGCACAACCCTGTGCTGGCTCCCCACCGAGTCACGAAATTGAGCTGAGCTCTTGTGAATGACAAACCATGTTCTTAATAGGGACAGTGAGATTGATCACTTGAATTACTGCAAGAGTCATGCTCCTTCCCATTGAGCTGACTTTTCTCTTGTTTTATGGAGCCTATTTGTATCTGTTGAGAAAGTTTTGTTTAAAAATGAGCATTAATGGTTTGGAACATGATGTTACAGGACATAGCTAATTTTTAGCTTGTATTATTTGAAGAGAGCAGAACCAAATTTTAATCTAACCATATGGATGCAGAGTCTGAAGTTAGTGGTTATGCCACTGCTTTGCTGAGTAGAACTGAGCATTTTGTAGCAGTAGATGAAAAGCAAAAGCGTACCCAGCGTGGATGAACATTTGTAGCTTTCAGTAGGAAGTCCTGCAGGGGGTTTCAAATAAAGGGATGGATATCGACATTAATGAGAATATCACTTTTTCAAACTTTCAGCCACTTATTTCTTACTACATTCATAGTCTACAGAGTAAAACAACTGTACTTGCAATTTTGGGGCGGTAGATATTTGCAAGCATAACTGGGTGTCCAAATACCTTTTAGCAATGCAAATCTTTTAATTGACTCCAATACAGCACATAAGGCTGGTCTTAAATCATATCTTCTCCACCGAGATTCGCAGGTAGTAAAAGGAGCTCTGGCTGAAGCCAGGTGGCAGGTGCAACTCTCCATATGTACATAAAATTACAGTAATTTGGCTTTTTATGACATTTTAGCTTTTAAAAATATTTTAAATAATAAATCTAATGGAAGTAAGCAAATATTATTTTGGTCTTATGAATAAGCTTAGAAAAAGGTTAAATGATTCATAATCCACCTTTTAAA